GCGGCGGTCGCTATCTCCGACGACATTTTAAACTGCGTTTTCTGTGTTACAGTCGCGTGCACGGACTGTAATGTTAAGAAAATTGCATCCATTGATGTATCGAAAAAATAAAGCGAACTATTTGATGAACACCACGGGCCGAGTAAAAACCGAGGGCGGCGGAGGACGGCGGAGGCGGCGGCACGCCCCGGGCCCCCGACCTACCGACCCTATGCTGAAATTTCATGTTACCGGAAACACGCTATCTTTTTTGTTTGGCCTAAAGTAAATTTGCAAAAAATTCTATGTGACATCGCTAAAAACATGTCTCTTATTTATTAAATGTGAGAATTTAAAATTTTGTTCGAGATTTTCGTAAGCATCAAGGAAGTTGACATGTTTGATTTGCCTTTGTGGGTCACGTAAAATGATGTGGCGGGCCAGAGCTGGCCCCCGGGCCTTGAGTTTGACATCCGTGTTTGACGGTATCAATGCCATTTTTTTGTTATCTTAGCGTTAAGATCGTGAATGTTTGTCTTTATATTTAGAAATGTCCAAGACCACTTTTTGTCAGTACAGTCAAACCTCGGTTTTCGAACGTCTCTGTTATCGACCAAATCGGGTTTCGACCAGAAATTTTGAGTCTTTTTACGCTTCAGATTACGACCGAAAGCCGGTTTTCGACCAAATTGAGCAAACCCGAATACGCCACTCGACTCCTCTCGGCTTCCTTACATGAGGAAGTGACGCTTCCTCGTGTGACGTTCATTGTGAGCAGACGTGTTTGTTGTGATTTACACAAATCCGACTGTTTTTTTGTTATTTCTGCATAGTGTATTAGCCCCAAATCATGAGCTAATGAAATAGTTTGGGATTCAGAAGAAATTGTTTTCGAACAGCGTTCCGGAACGGATTACGGTCGAAAACCGAGGTACGGCTGTATGAGTAGAGTATTCACTCTGAGTACTCGCCGATACAGAGTGTCAGTACCTCTATTTTTATGTAAAAAAATTAAACACAATGACAAAATTATGTGAACAAATACATTTCCTTGTTTAACAGGTAATATTCATCACAGCATAGCGCCACCTACTACTGAGGAGGACTTACTCGATGCCAGATTTGTTTTGCCTTAAGTATTGGTAGTTGATATCGGCAGCCTCCACAAGTACCCAATACCTTAAAATAAGGCCAATATCAGACTGTTACCCATATCTGCTATCGGTACTGGCCCATCCCTAATCATAATGTTTGGGTGTACATTTTGTTGTTTAAAAATGCATCCATATTCTGCAATACACTGGGGTTCACTGTATTTTTTATTCAAGCAGGAAAAAAATAAGTGAAGACATAACGTGCACCAGCCAATCAGTTGCATTTGTTTCCTTTGACGAGGAAGAAGGTTCCGGTGGCCACGCCCACAAGTCCCACAGTCAGCCCCAGTGCACAGAAGACGGTGGCTCCGATACCCGGCTGGTTCACCTTCACCGCTGGAAACAGGAAATTGCGGTTAGCATTAGCATTAGCGCTTGAAAAGGACTGCTACATTTCCAAGGGAAGTTCAGATGGCAAATTTTTGAATTACATGGTGCCTCAAGACAGCAGCTTCATTTACTCTGTGACCACACTTGAATCACTAAACAATCATGTCATCTTTCTGCAGTGAAATTAATAGAAATGCAATTATACGTTCCAGCCCCCATCGGAAAAAACAAAAACAAAAAAACAAATGTTTTTTTTTTATAAACATAAACCTCACATGACACAAATGCAAAGTAGTAACATTTGCTTTTCACATAACCTGCACACATGGAAAATGCCAAAACATTGATCAGTCCAATAGCTTAATGCTAAAACAAATGAGCATTTATGTTATGATGTTGTAACCCTTTAACAAACAGATTTAACACAAATGATCCACCAACATATCTCGACAGATATAACGGTACCCACAGTCACGTTATTTATCATCTGCAAAGAGCGAAATATTACTGCCGCAGTGATGAACTGAGAGAGGAGATGAGAAAACTCAACGGACATCTGTCTTATTAGTCCCACCCGAGGTGGCCAAAGCAGGTAAACCAGAAAGAAAGAACAGCGGCAATTCATTTGTTTACAATTCTGTCTACAATTTGTTTTTTTTAATCGCATACACTATTATAAAGTGATTTTTTCCCCCCTCATTGAAATATACCAGACAAGAATTTTTTTTTTTTTGACGGGAAGGCTGGCAGGAATTAATGGCATTGCATTCATTTCAATGGGGAAAGATGATTGTGATTTTGTACATTCCTGTTGCTTCCCATGGAAAATCTCCAAGCTGGAAAATTTTGCAAGCCGAGCGCTCGCTTGCGATGCTCACTCACTCCAGAAGGTGTTACGTGGACGCTCCAGGGCCGGATGTTCCACCACGCACGAGTAGATGTCGTCTTGTGCGGGAGTGAAGTCCAGTTGGAAGGTCTGGTGGAAGGAGCCGTCCTTATCGGGAAAGGCGCTGGTGGCGCGGCTCACTGCGCCCGCCACCGGTTCACCATTCTTGGTCCAGTGAACTTTGACGGGCGCCGGAAAGAAGCCGCTCACGTGGCATACGAGTGTGTTCTTCTCTCCGAGAGCCACGTTGTCTTTCGGGTAGACGATGGGATGGGAGGGAGGATCTGAAAAGACAAAAGCATGTGTGTTGGCACCCAATATTGTGTGTGTGTGTGTGTGTGTGTGTGTATTTCTCCATGCGCCCAACTTTGTGTTCATGTTTGTGTGTCTCAATATTTGTCTGTCCATGCGTGTCTTTTTATGTTTGTTTGTGCTCATATGCGTCTTAGATTGTGTGGTTTGGTGTCAATATCTTTGTGTCTCCATATTTCTGTGTCTCAATGTGTCTGTCACACACATTCTCTCACACACTCGGGGTTGGTGGCGTTACAGTACCAGATTCTAGTGGCTGATCCTTCAATGCTTTCTGGGTTATGTTGAGGTTTCCTCTGCATGTGATTAGATTGACCATTGCCCACTGAAAAGTATCTTTGGCATAGCTGACGTGATCCACAAAGCTGGGCTGTGTATCCACAACCCTGTCGGCGGTGAAATCGACAACCCATCTGTCCTCGTCGTCCACAGAGTTATAGACTGCTCCTTCCGCCTCAGAGCAGCCAACCATCTGCATATCTGTGTGGATGACTGAGAAGAAGCGACCCATCAACGATTGTCTTTTCAAGCGTTTCGGCAGCGATACATTTGGATAAACTTTACCGTTTCCCCCGCAAGCCCTGCCACCAACAGCGAAAAACCACAAGTAATTGCCCCCCACCTAAAATGTTTATATTTGTCTTTCATTGGTGCCCTTGAGATATGAGTCACTCAACTTATGACTTATTTCTTGATATGAGCGCCACATGATGACAGTGAAACAATTCAACTCAATAATCACCGCTTTTTGGGAAATAGTCAACAGTTGTTTCAAAAAGAGGCTTCAAGCTGTTCCACTCGCAGTTGAAGTTTAAGCAACAAATAAATATGAATTATACCTTGTGTATGTGAAACAACCACATAGTTTAGACTTTTAGTCCGCTAGGTTTATGCTCATAATTAGTGTCTCCTGTAATGTTCTATAATCCGTTTAGCAAGGGTTAGGGACAGAAATGAACAAAAAGTGCCAACATGGGGACAATGGAACAAGCCTCAGTCATCTTCTTTATCTGAGGTGAAGAACAACGAATATTCATGATATATTGATGAGTTAAGAGGGGTTGAGACAGTTCGTTCTATCTGCCTGTGGCCAAGGCAAGCACTATAGATAATGGCCATTCTATGGAGCCCTAAAGGGGACAAAGAAGAAAAAACATCTTTGCATTCCCTTGCAAAATTTTGCATTCCCTCGCAAAGATTGCGAGATATTACAAACTTTTTTTAATGGCGTTGATGTACTTCCGGGTCATCGTCCTGGTCACTGAAAACAACAAACGTGGCGTGTTTTCACCTGTTGGTGAGTTTCATTGAATTTTACTTTGATAATTAGCATGAAATACAAAGACATGAAATCTGTTGTTGATTCTCATCCATGAGTGTCTCCTTCCCCAAAGTAGTGTCGTCTCTCAATCAGCCGTGCATGAGAGTGAAGCTGACATTAGCTAAGCTGACCCGGAAGTACCAAATCGGCAGGGGTGCCCAAACTTTTTGGAACGAAGATAGACTTTTCGATCAACCAACCTCCCGCGATCGACCCGTGACCGCGCACACGCACGCACATACACACGCGCACCGTGATGAGCAACAGCCTGACAACGGAGGCATGTGACGAACTTTTGCAGCCTGTTAACTATTGTTGCTCACACGTACTGTTTAAAGTGCTTCCCTGGGCCCTCTACATTCCTATTCTTTGCCCGTGCCCTCGGTGAATTGTACATGAAAGAAACTGAATGAGAATAATAACGAGAAAAGATGTAGCGCAACAGCTCTGGTCGTAAGCTGCAATTGCAGACTGCTGAGCGCGAACAACTTCTGGTGACGCAGGTCACGCGCCGCCGTAGGTTAAAGATTAACCGGCTTTATTTTATTTTTTAAATAGTTTTTTATGAAAATGAGACAGGTTGGTTATGGTGCAGTGTACATTAACACAAAAAATATCTTACTAACATGCACAAAGACACACAAATGGTTGGTTTGTTTTTTTTCTCCTCTACACCCCTCCGGATCGACTTGGGACCAGGCCGCGATCTACCGGTCGATCGCGATTGACGAAATGGGCACCTGTGCCTTGGGGGCTCCGTACCATTCAATTGATGCAGTGTGACAAAAAAAAAACGGTTTAAATCTGGGGTAATTTCATTTAATCATGTAATGTGTTTCGGTAAAATACACATGATAGAGTGTTAAACTTCTCATTTAAAAGTACAATACACATTTTTTACTTTCCTTTTTCTTTCATTCCAGTGGGGAAAGCTGATTTGAGATCTGAATTACTTGAGTTATGAGCGTCAAGGAACAAACTAAACTTGTTTTTCAAGGCACAACTGTATTTTGTTAGAAGTGAAGTGACAATGGCCATGGTTGAGTTCACTTTGTCAAAAATTAAATTGCCTGTTTTGTCATTGGCTATCCTTCTTTACGAGA